AGTCACTATCTCATAAGTAGCAAGGAGCACATGTCCTCTGCTTTGAACAAGGCTCACTGAAAAGGAAGTACGAGAATAGGAACATGGACCTTCTGGACAGCATACTTTACAGGTTCCAGGAAAACTATATTATTGACAAGGAGCGAAGATCCTCAGTTGTCCATCTAGGAAGGAGAGCACAGAACCTAACGGACACTTCCCACCTAGAGCGTCACATATATTTTGAGTCAGCAACACACACTTCACTGTGTGCAAGACACTACACTACCAGCCAACCAGAACTCTAGTTATGTCTTTCGTATGAGTAGTTGCCCCTAATCTGAAGCTACATTCAGAACATCAGGATATACTTTCAATAACACAGCAATGCACTCATATCACAAATGCAGACTGGAATAGCGTATACACTACCAGCATGAAATTCTCGAGCACGCACTTGCTTATTTTTTCTACTCCCTCAATTGTCGCTCTAACACTTCTGATCACTTACCTGCTCAGCGACCACTAACAACTACCTTCTGAAAGTCCTAAATAGAAAGGTACAATAATGAGACAGCTCTTGTGTAATGAATGGAAACCATCACTTCCAGGCCTGATGCCTCGTCCATAACACTTGAAGCTCACAGAAGCTGCCGTTGGTGTCTGTACCACTTTGCAGAAGCCTAATTGCCTTCAGAGCATTTCCTGTCGGTACTGAGAATCTACCGTCATGACCCATCAAGGAGAAGGCTGATCTGATCCTCGTCCATGATCTCCAGTGTGAGTCCGATTCCTAGGACCCGGACATGGCATGATCTCTCCTTGAGCGCCCAAGCTGTGCGCCTGGGAATCACCCCATCAGACTCACACACTCAGGAACCAACAGTGAGATAAACAATGAATGCAAGTCCAAAGACTTTTTTTTTTTTTTGATGATTGGAAGTCTCGCACTGTCACCGACAGGCTGGCAGCTGCAGTGCCGGAATCTCAGCTCACGTGCACAGCTCGCGGCGCGCCTTGGGTTTATGCCATTCTCTCCTCTCTCAGCCTCCTGAGTAGCTGGACTACCAGGCGCCCGCGCACCCCATAGCCCGCGTCTAGTTTTTTGTATTTTTTTTTAGTAGAGCACGAGGTTCACGTGTTAGCCAGGAGCGACATCAATCTCCTGACCATCGTGATCGTGACCGTCTCGGCCTCCCAAAGTGCTGGGGATTACAAGGCCTTGAGCCAGCCCAGACCCCTTTTTTTTTTTTTTTTTCTTTTTGAAAACAGAGTCTTGCTCTGTCCGCCCAGGCTGGAGTACAGTGACATGACTCAACTCACTACGATACCCACCGGGAAGAATGAAACAAACGGCCCGACACGCACAAGTTCAAGTGATTCTCATGCCTCAGCCTCCAAGTAGCTCGGACCCTACAGTGCTCACCACCCACACCCCAGCTAATTCTTGTATTATCGTTTTTCGTAGAGTGGGGTTTTCACCCTGTTGGCCCGCTCACCGGCGCCAAACTGACCCGGCCCCAAACGGCACGAGCTGCCCCGGATGCCTCATGCCCCGTGCTGGCGATTACAGGGCATGGCTACCACTGCCGGCCAAGTTTGGCTGCTCTAAGGCCTCTCTCACTTGGGTTGAGGATGGCTGCTTTCTCACTGTATCCTACATTGTGGGTTGTTCTTGTTTTGTTTTGTTTTGAGTTTTTTGAGACAGAAGCTCTTGCTCTGTCACCCAGCGCTGGATGAAGTAGCAGTGGCGTGATCCTCTGCCGTTTCAGGTTCAAGAGATTCTTCTGACTCTCACCTCCCAAGTAGCTGGGACTACACAGGCACAGCACACTATCAATGCCCGGCTGAATTTTTGTAATTTTTTAGTGAGAGACAGGGTTTCCACCAATATGGCCAGGCATGTCTCAGACTCCTACCTCATGATCCACCCCCCTTGGGCCTCCAAAAGTGCTGGATGACCAGGCGCTGACCCACTGCATCCGGCCCCACATTGGCTTTTATTTGCATATTTAGAATAGGGGCAGTACCCTCATTCTGCTGAAAAGTAGGAAGAGTGTTCCCATGAGCCGAGCAGAGAAGGGTGGTTTACGATTCGGCTCACTGCCAATCTATACCCACGGGTTCAAGTGATTCTCCTGCCTCAGCCTCCTGAGTAGCTGGGATTAAAGGCTCCTGCTGCCACACCCAGCTAATTTTTGTATTTTTTAGTACGAGACAGGGTTTCACCCATGTTGCAGCGCCAGGCTGGTCTCGAACTCCTGACCTCAAGTGATCACCCCTCAGCCTCCCAAAGTGCTGGGATTACAGGCATGAACTACTGTGCCCGGCCAGAGGATTACTGTTTCTTTTCATTTTTTTTTTAAATTTTTTATTACAGACCAATTTTCGTCATACAAACTATCCTTTCAGATTTGTTTTGAATACCTCTTTTCTTTTTTTTTTTTTTTTCTCCCTCTCTGAGATGGAGATCTCGCTCTGTCCGCCTCAGGCGAGTGCATGGTGTGATCTCAGCTTCACTGCAACCTCTGCCTCCCGGGTTCAAGCGATTCTCCTGCCTCAGCCTCCTGAGTAGCTGGGACCATAGGCACCCACCACCATGCCCAGCTAATTTTTTGTATTTTTAGTAGAGACAGAGTTTCACCATGTTAGCCAGGATGGTCTCCATCTCCTGACCTCGTGATCCGCCCGCCTCAGCCTCCCAAAGTGCTGGGATTACAGGTGTGAAACACCGTGCCTGGCCCCAATTGATTATTTCAAAGTTATTTTACTTGTGGCCAGGTGTGGAGGCTCATGCCTGTACCCCAGCACTTTAGAAGGCTAAAGTGGGTGGATCATCTGAGGTCAGGTGTTCCAGACCAGCCTGGCCAACACAGTGAAACCACGTCTCTACTAAAAATACAAAAAATTAGCCGGGCATGGCGGTGGGTGCCTGTAATCCCAGCTACCCAGGAGGCTGAGGCAGAAGAATTGCTTGAACCCAGGAGGCAGAGGTTGCAGTGAGCCGAGATCACGCCATTACACTCCAGCCTGGGCAACAGAGCAAGACTCCGTCTCAAAAAACAAACAAACAAACAAACAAAGTTACTTTACTTGTAAAGGTTAAAACAGAGGGG